TATTGGCGGCTCGTTTATATATCTTATTTATGTCTTCGATATAATCATGAAAAGGATTAAGGACAACAACATCATTTCCTTTTTCTTAATTTTTATATTTTGCACTTTGAGAGGGGTATATTCAGTTTGGCATGGAGTTTATAACCACTTGAAGGAGTCACCTCCGGCATGGACATGTATATATATTCTTGCTCCGTCCCTTTCTTCTTAAACTTTCACAAGTTTTTTCTTTTGTGCCAACAACGGCTGGTATTGTAACTGGACCAATTCAAAAATATTATGTGTCAGACATAATGCGGCTGTCAGTCGTGAAGTTTCTATTGACTGATTAGACAGGTTTGAGTAATTGCTATTTATCAATTAAAGCTAATTCTAAATATTTCAAAAACAAATTTTTAAACTCAGATTGTCAGTTTTTACTTGTTTAGTTTCATTTATGACATTTACGTATCTTTCATTGTATTATTGTTAATCGATCTATTTTTCATGCCCTTTCTAGATTTTTCATCTATATCATCTTCTAAATTTTGGGAACTACTTTTGAATATGTAACACCATTTATTAGGTTATTTGATATTAAAGTATTAATCGTTGTTGGGATTCTTTCATGGTTACCCGTCAACCGTTTAGGCTGATTACTTTCCCTTCTTCTTTTTTGTAGTTCCATAGGAACTAAACAGCCTCAGTAACTAGCAAGGCGTATCTCGTTGTAGTTTACACACCTGGCCTGAAAATTACATTTTTTATTATACCTTGCTACTATATGATTACCAGAACATTTAGTACGTTTAGCCCCTTTTTGCCAAAATCTTTGTGCATGGCGGAATTTCTGGCATCACTCGCATTGCACTTTTACTGCCATGTGCTGAAGATATTCTGTTTTATATACCTTATTTATATCTCCGAAATAATTGATCTACTAATTTAAATCTCCTTTTCATAAGTTCAAACTTAATATCCTGTGGCTCACATGAAGGATGTAGGTTTCTGACCATTACTTTAATTAGCCCCGTCAATTTATTTTCATAGGTATGCCATTCCAATTTAATTGTCTATTATTGACAACAGCTTTAGTTAATTGTCTATATTAATTTTTATTTTCAACATTTCTTTTTAGTTGGTCATTGTTCATCTTGTCAATACTTTCCTCTTTAAGAACCCATATTAACTGCGTGTATTAAGTTATAGTACTCACGATTACAGGCGGAGGGTTATGTTTTGTAAGTTGAACATTTCCCCTTTTTGGAGATTTCTCTACTTTAGTATTATTCGTTAATAAAATATGAACCCTACTCACCTTAGTACGGTTACATATCTTCTTCACCGACGGGCATAACACAAGCGCTCCCTACAAGAGGATTGGTTGTACAACGGCTGTACTGTGTACAACCATATAAGCACATTAGATTTCAATCCCCACTGCCTCCAAACCATTTCTTTACATGTGTAGGGAATCTTGCAGGCTTTCCCCACCCTTTCCTCCACGTTCATCTTCCAGTTAAGCTTTGATACCATCACATATATACTGCTTATATTGAATGGTATGTTCCAATATCCGGGCAATCTCATGCAATGGGCTGTCATCGGACCTGCTCGTTCGATACTTGGGCTGTAACTGCCAGAACTGAGAGGACCCTATTCCGTTCCGCAGTGTCAGCTCAAAGATACGGTCCAAAGCAAAGGTCGTCAGACTAATTAGTTTTAAGCTCTTTAGGGTTTTCATGGTTCCGGTTTTGGTATAAAGATCACCTTTGCACGTCTCCACGATTTGGGTAAATGGCACAGTGAAAGGCAACTTTTAACAAATTTTAGGAGCCACGGAACTACATATATATTCTTTAGTGTTTTGTAGCATTGTCGGAATGCAAACGGTGAGAAGTTATTCACAACCAAATTAATCCCCTCACCAGTGATAAGAGATTGAAGACCCCTCACGGTGCCGAGTTCCCTATCTGCCAAACTATTTGGGTTGCTCTGAAATCGATTCGACATCGTCTGGGAAGTGCGTGTTCATCAATAAGCTTAAGGGCTTCTTGGATGGCCCGACTCATGTCCCATCAAACTTTGGATTGGAAAATGGATTGGAGAGCTCCTTAGATAGAAATCTATTCATTAAGTCTGGCAGAGTCTCCGGTACACTACAGACTACTGCAAAAACCCTAAATCTTGGGTTATATTAACTATAAAATAATACAATTGAGCGGTGTTTTCTTTTATTTTTGACCCCATCCTTTTGACCTTTTCTTATACCATGACCCCATCCTATGGTGGACTTTGAAGACATCTTCTTGAAAATCTTTAAATCTTCGTTCTACCAAGGGGGAGAAGTCTTCTTAGGGTATTTTAGAAGGCAGGGGGCTCTGAAGGTCACATTCATGACCTTCTTAAAACCATTGACTGGGGCCTCCAATTCTTCACATCGTCAATATTAATACGGAAATTAAACACGACCGGGTGCTTGTCACGCACGATGCCTACATTTAGAATGAACGATTTATACACTCTTTGAAATAACGCAAAAACTAATTTAAGGAGGGGTTAACATAATGCTCGATTTTAAGGGTTAATTGCGTGAGTTAAGAAAAATAATTATATTTTTTAATGTTATGGATTTTATCGTTAGCTTTTTCCGTTTATAGAAATTTGAAAAAGCTTATAGTTTCGGAAATATAAGACGTCAAAAATTAAAATTTTACAAATTTCGGGAGACTATAACTTGAGAGGGGGTGGAGATGGAAAAAAGTTTTTATCTTACAAAAGAAACTGTTTATTAATGTCAAAAAGCTGTTAAAATTTCAGACTTTTACAACCTGTTGTCTACAAAAAAAAACGACGTCAAAAATTTGGAAAAAATGGATTTTATATAACGGTAAATTTTAATGGTCATTTTGTTTTTTGAAAATTTAAAAAGTGCTGATGGTTTCCCTGCAACAAAAAGTTAAAAAATAGCATTTTTAGGGTTTTGTGGAGGTATAACTTTTAGAGGGGGGAAGAAAGGTAAAAACTTTCTTCTACGGAAATAAGTTTCTAGTAAAAATCTATGTACATATAAATTTGAAATTTCTATTCAAGCGTGTAGAAGTTTTGTAAACAGATAGACGGACGGACGGACGTACGGACTGAGTGAAACTTATAAGCACTTCTTTTTAAAAATTTTTTGGAAAAGTGCTAAAACTTTGTCATAGTATCCGACAAACAATTCGTAAACGATAGTTGCATTGGGTCTCATGTAACCGACGATCGCGATCCGAAATGAAAGAAAAACAATAAAAATTAAGATAAAACAAAAATAAAAAATAGTAAAAAAATAAAACCAAAACACATCAAAGTCAAAGATCGGTTTTCTTATATTGCGATGCTAAACGAAAAGAGCCGAAGTACGAATGTAGAGCAAGAAGTAAGAAAGGGAGATTATGTAAAAAAAATTGTTTTATGTTTATCCGTTTTAGTATCAAGTGAGTGTTCATTCAAAGTGGTTGTTTTGAAAGAAAAAATAAAAATTACAGACATATACAATTTACTGGAAAAAAAGTAAAAGTAAGTCGAAATTTTTTTTTTTGATTTTTTTTTGAAAATTGCGATTTATAAAATTTTAAGTTAATTTTTAGTATAACATTTGGTATAACATATTTATAACATCGACATTTTTCTATAAGACTAAAGTTGTTAACAAAGTGGTCTCAGTTTACGAAATGTAATTAAGGGTTCTTTACTTCTAAGATCTATTGACCGAAACCTAATGCATAAGCGTAAACCAATCTTTGACTTGTCGAAACAGTCAATAAAACGACGTTTAAATAAAGTAAGAAAAATAAGTAGTTCAGGAGAATTTTGTCGAAACTAAAAATTTTGATGATAATCAAGTTAAATTAATTAGCAAAAATGTAGAGCTCTCAAATCAGATAGACATACATAATTTTTTACAGTATTGATCTGCAAGATATAACATTAAATCGAATGCATTGAATAAACTTTTAAGGTTTTTTATTTTCATTGGTTTCGAAAGCTTACCTGTGGATAGCAGAAGTCTTCTAAATACACCGAATGCAAGAGAATACGTAGAATGTCCACCGGGAACTTATGTTTATAACGGTATAGCAAATGGTTCAAAATCCGTACTTTATAATTTGAACATACTTCCCGATAATATTCAAGCAAGGAACAAGATGCGTTGTTTTGAGCAAAGGAAAAAGGCGTGATAAGATTTGAACGTGCGGAAATTATCAGTGGAAATTACTTTGCGAGAGGAAAGAAAATGTTGAACGGAATCACATTTTTTTTTGCTTGTATGTTGGCAAACTTTGTATGTTTACAAGCTTCGTTTGGCAACTGTGACGCACCATATTATTATAAATTTTCAGCAACATTTCAGTAACGTAACTAATTGTATCCGAAGTGGTACCCAGTTACATTCCAGGTTTTTTTTGTTACAAACCCTTATTTTGTTTGTCGGGGTAAACAAGCACACAAAGCTTGAAAAAGGTTAGAGAACCGTACAAATCAAAAAAGAAAACAAAACTGTTGAGAGGAAATGTTTCGTACTTTGTGTGACTTTTTGTACAGATTTTTTGTTTTAGGAGATTATGAATTTTTAAACAAAATAAATATGTTTAATCGATAAATAAAATATTGATTTAATTAATGACGTCAAAAGTAGTGTAAAAAAAGATATTTACATAATATTTTTAAAATACTGTCACTTTCTACAAAGACTTAAACTTAAAAAACTTAAAATTTTAGAATTCTCAAAGTTTTATTATAGAAACTTTAACATAATTAATATGAAAAGATCGATAACTTATCAGAAGGTTGAAAGCTAAAATTTTGCAATTTTACAGAGAATGTTTAAAAATTTTAGACGTAAAACCTTTGAATGAATTTAAAAAAAAAAAAAATTAAGAATTACCAAGATTTGCTAGCGCATATATGTATATGTATGTTTTATAATAAAAATTCAGAACTAACAAAAAGTATTTCTGCATAAATATTTTTATTTACAGTTTGTACAATAGTTACGAAGATGTGAATGATACATATGAAGAAATACGCAATAAACCAAAAAATGATACGTTTGACATACCATCCCCTAACCTCAAAATGGTAGAGTCATTTTGGAATAACATAAATTTATTAAATAAAATGTGGAATAACTATATTGAATTAAATGGCACAGACAAAATAAAGCGTGAAGCAAATAAAAATTTAACACAAGTTGAGGAAGGGCGTTACATAAAAGGAGATCCCTTAAAAGGATATTATGATTTCGTCATAACCGAGGGGTCGTATAAATTTTGGGCCGCTTTTCAGGTAATTGCTTTTTAAATACATATTTCAAAATTTAACGGAAACCTATACAGGGGGTTTCGCACAAGGTAGCGGATAATTTCAGGGATGTATATTTGATTAATTTCCAACAAAAAATTCTTTGGGTGCGGGAGAGGGGGAATGCGGGTAAGCTTGTTTTCGAGCTGTTGAAAAAAAATATGTCAGACTTTCCAGCATACAAATAAATGCTCATATCATCGGAACGATGCGACATAGAGTAGCCATTGGGAGTGTTCACTCTACGTCGTATCGTTTCAATAAAATAATAAAATTATAAATCGTTTATGTAAATGGGCTAACAAAATTATCAATGAAATTTATTATGAAATGGCAAAAGATTATATAAATTTAAGAGGTATTCTCCAATTCAAAATTTAATGATATTTGAGGTTTTTTAAACAATTATAAAGCGAGGCTCAAATATGCTACATTTCAATATGTGATACAACCTTTTTCTATAGGAATTACATAGCTAACGTGTATTGTTGGTGCTTGATATCTTTCAATTTATTATTATTCAACTAATTATGTTCATTTTCAGATCATATTTTAGCTGTGGTTTACATGCATACTTTATCTACTTATATTTTAATTTAATTTTACAATCTTTTAATGTTTATTATAATCAGCTATTTCCAATTAGTTGTATATTATTCGAATATAGTACGTATTGCAATTATTTAAACAAAAAATATTGACTAACAATTTTAAGTAAAAAATTTTCGCTTTTCAAATTTTGTTTAATAAAGTTTTTGTATCGCACTCAGCAAAGCCTTAAGAAAAGGTGCTTTTGAAAATTTAATTTTGATTTGATTTGAAATATTGTTTGTTTCCCATTTTTTTTATTGCTATTTTATTTAAATTTTGAAGATTGTAAAAGTTCCTTGATCATGATAAACATAAATGCATTCAATTTTTAAAAAACAAATGTTTCAGGATAATAAGGTTTGCAATTTATGAAAAGTATTTATAAAGTTAGTGCATTCGATCAATAACATAAGTATATTAGATAAATTCACCTTAGTGAAAACAATATTTTTCTAAACAAATTTTTAAGGTAATTTACCTTGAAGTGTTACCTCTCCAAAATCGCGAATTTGCTAATTTTTGAAAAATTTATCCAATCTGATAAAATTTTTTCAAACTAGAGTTTGGTCTAGTATGGAATATCGAAGTTTTGAGAACTTGTAAAGTTTGTTATAGGAGTTTTGAAAATTTTTCTTTAATAAATGCGAGATAGTCTGAAATTATTGTTCGATCACCTATAAGTAAGATTTAATTTGTCCCAAGTCTCTTCAAGCCAGTACAATTGATTTTCATATAATGATTTTATCTATTATTGCAAAGGTTAAATGCTCAATCTTCTGCAACATCGTTTAGTTGCGACATTGAATCTAAAAATGTTATAGCATAATAAATGATGGGGATAACTCGCAACATCCTATAATATAATTTCAATTTTGAAGCAACATGTGTTGCAACCCAAACGATTTATTGTGCATTTACAGATACATACATACATGGTTATTTGACAAAAATTTTTCATATTCTGTTTCGTTTCTATTTCCTTTTTAAGTTTTAATTCTTCAAAGAGTGAAAATGTTAGTTTTTCACAATCCACTATGTTTACAGTGCAAGTAATTTGAAGTTTCTGTGAACGGACAAAGATCTGGAATCACTTCTTTTATCATAATAAGCGTCAGGGTGTCGAGTTACATTTTTAAATAAGCTTACATATTTAAATTAGCTTATAAGAGCTTTTCACTCATTTGAATTCGGATGAATTTTAAAGTTTTGAATTCGGATCAACGTCAAATAGTTTAAAAATTACAAATAGATATCCTTTATTATTTTATTTTACGAGGAAAAGATTTTTTTAAAACTCCTGTAAAATATGCAAAATGTTAAATTGCATTACCCTCTTTCTTCGACCGATTAGCTTTATTGAACCTTTATAATAGTAAATGCAGGGTGTCTGAGACTCAATGGCATTCCCGAAGCAGGGTGATAATATGTATGTAGACGACTAAAAAATACCTAGTGACATTTTTCTTTCTGGGCCCTTGTTCTCGAGTTATGGGGCCTCAAAGTTGGAACATGCAAAAACCGTCTTATTTTTACATTTTTATTTATAACTCGGGATGACAGGTAAATCTAACTTTGTAGACTCATTGTAAAGCTAATGAAATTCTCATTTTAAAGGTATACCAGCAGTTCTAAAGATTTTTTTTAGTTTCAGAGATATTCAAGAGCAAAGTCAAAATTTGTTAAAAATTTTTTTCTAAATTTTCGTTTAACCGTCATTTGCTCACAATTCCACGTAATCAACCTATAATTTTTTTATAGGAAAGAGAGCCCTATATTCTGACCTTCATTTTGATATAACATAATGTGGGAAAAATTTTAGAAGTAACATGTCTATCAGCCAAAAAATGGGCCAAAACCTTAGAAAATTAACTAAAACAAAGTATTTTTCACACAAAAACAAATTTTTTCAATCTTTATTACGCAGTATTATGCGTTATCAACATTTACTTTTTCTTTTCCAAAATAAAAGACATTTGTATTACCTTTATTTCCTTAAGCCTTTGAAACCAGCTTTTTCTAATTTTGAAATTAAAATTCCATGATCGATGATGTCGTATATCTATAAACAGAGCAGCTGTTTGGTTACTTAAATTTAAACTTGAATATAGTTTGGAAATCAATTTTAAAATAACAGCTTAGGTGCTTCTGCCAGCGAGAAATCCAAACTGCTTATTGCTAAAAAAAATTAATTTTATTCAAATAATTAACCATTCTTTTTTCGATTAATTTTTTGAATAGTTTGCCAATATTCGGTAAAATAGAAATTGTTTTTTGGACCCTTCTTTTAAAGTAATAACACTTCCGAGTTTTTTAAACTATACCAATAAGGTTGACATTTCTCGAAAGTAAAATGAACGCTTAGGCGGCAACGATTCAAATGAAATTTGGCTGGGAAAAGTATAAATGAAACTCTATTAGCGACGAAAACTATCCATGTTGAAAGATGTACCGAGATCCAAGACGAAACTATCCCTGAATCTGTCCACAGAAACACATCAATTTTCAGATCTAGTAAAGGTATACTTTGTTCGATAAATTCAAAAGAAATAGAGCGATATAAATTGACTGCGTCTTAATTGGAGCTTTTTTAGATTTAGTAGTTAGCAAGTTTACATGAACATCGACATCATTTTCAACGCATCTTAAATAAATACAGCAACTATAAGCTTTTGTACTGGCGTCACAAAAACCGTGAAATCCTACTGAAGATTTTTGAGGTCATACAAAAAGAGGAATGGTTAATTGATCAAGAAAGTATAAATCTTTTTTGAATTTTTTTCATTTGGAATACAAGTCCAAAGGAAGTGATACATCCCAATCTAATTTTAAAAGTCAGATGTTTTGTAAAAATATTTTGGATCTTACTATGATGGGATTTATAAATCCAATTGGATCAAACAATCTTGCTGTATCAGACAAAACTGTACGTTTGGTAATCTTGTTTTGCCCAAAAATCTATACAAAATTTAAAACTATCTGAAGTGAGTTGCAAACATATCCCCAAAGCTTTGATAGCCAATTATTCATTGATAGTTAAGAAACCGCCCTATTATTTCTTGTAATGAATTTCAACCGCTTAAAAGATTAACAACGTAAATATCTCTTAGAAATTTTTGCGATCCAATGGGATAAATTTTAGAATTTAATGTTGCCAAGCATGACAGTGATTTTGTTGCAAGATAAGGAGCTGCAGAAGTTGCATATGTAACGGTGTTATGTCGTAATTTTTGGAGATTTTCGCAAAGGTTTTGGTTTTGTTTCCAGTGTATAATAGTAAGATTGATAGTAAGAATCATCATCGTCTACTAAAAATTGTCTATATATTTTGCAGATGTCAGCTTTTAGAGCACATTGGTATAACTTGAATCTTAATAAAATTGAATAAAGATCTTCCTGCATTACAGGTCCGATCATGAGAATAGCAACTTCGTACTTGATGAATCAGGTTTGAGAGCACAGTGATGTGGAAGATAATACTTAACTAAAGGTTCCTTTTCCAGAGGCACTCGCTCAAAATGATTTAACTCTTGATATTCATCTATAAACTTAGAATATTCTTCTTTCAGATTTGAATTCCTATTTAATTTTGCTTCGAGGGAATAAAATGGCCTTTCTACAATCTCACGCGTTGAATCCAATTCAGAAGGATGATGTTTAAAAGGCAATTTCAACCAGATAGTGCTCTGTAAACTGAAGGATTAAAGAAATCCTCACATCTCGATTACTCATTTATTTATTTTAACATAAAATCAATTATAAAATTTAGCTGTAAGCCCGAGTTCAGCAGAACTCGAACTGGCCGAAACACACCGAAATTATTTTCGACATTAATAATACCAGTTGCTGGAATAACATTGCTAGCCAGAGTTTCATAAATTGGAGATTACAAAAAACAAGTCCCATTGTGAGTATTAGCTGCTTCAGTTGTGGATGAAATATTTTTTTATACACTAAACCGATGCAAAAGCAGAACAGACTTTACATTTTGAAGAAGAACATCTTTTTACAGGGTGTCTACTCTTACCGGCAATTTATCTCAACAAAGAGCTTTTACTTTTTTAAATCGTTGGAAAACTGATAATTCTGAGAATTTGGAAAATCTATGTATTATATGACCGCAAGCGTTGAAAACCGGAAACGATTTGACGTTTCAGAAACCGAAAGTACTGTAGAATGTAAATTATGCGGGAGCGATTTGTTTTGAAGTTTCTAGACGGGATTTAGTTATGATTGTTTTTCCTCTCGGCATTGCAAAAATTGACAGACTCCTCCCATTTATCTTGAGAATCATGATCAAGTTTGCTAATAACCACATAAATGACCATGGAATTGGCTAGATTCTCGCCGGAACCAATAAAACTCAAAATCGCATCTACTGAATTTCTAAGACGCAT